TACAACAAAAAATGACAGAGAAAGGACCATGACCCACCCTCACCTGCACCAACAAAAACCAAGAGGCAAGCTTAGACGTCCACCTTTGTGGCACTCGAGTGAGGCTTGTCTCCAACGAGGGTGCTCACAGAGAAGGGAAGGGTGCAAATCAGCCCTCTCCATCCATAACTGCCAGGGCAGTGTCAGAGGCATCGTGGTGGGAAACCAGACTTTTATGACTACCCATCAGGGGTAATGAGCAACCCCCACCCCCGCCCCACATCGTGGTGTCCGTTAGGACCCAGGGAGGAGCTGGAACTTCCATGTCCAAGCAGAAGTAACAAAGAATTCACCAGTTTTGGATCTCAATGGAGGCTGAGCAGGGAAATATGGACCTCTACCCCTTATGTAGCAGTAACCAGGCAGCATCTACACCTTTTCCTACCAGAGCAGAGAGGTCAACCACACAGAGGATTTCATGATCCAGGGCACGTTTATCGCACAGTGGGTTAAGGCGCTGCTAGGGACACAGCCACCCCATATAAGAGGGCAGGCTTGCGTTCTGCCACCTGCACCTCCAGTCCAGCTTCCTAATGCAGCCTGGCTCAGGATGCAGTGCCCGCATCCCATATGGGCACCAGTTCGTGTCTCAGCTGCTCCACTTCTGACCCAGCTCCCTGCTGATGACCTAGGAAAGCAGAAGATATCCCAGGTGTTTGGGTCCCTACACCCACATGGGAGACCCAGAGGAAGCTCCTGGCTTCTGCCTTCTGATCAGCCCAGCTCCACCCGTTGAGGCCATCTGGGGAGTGAACCAGCAGTAAGAGGACCTCTCTGTCTGCAACTCTGCCTCTCAAATAAATCTTTCAAAATAAATACATAAATAAATAAATCTGGTTTCAAGAAATAGCTAAAGTAAGAAAACTGTGTGGTGTATGTAGATGGGTACATGGATAGACGATGAGAAGAGAATAGGGAACTAAGAAATAAAGCAAAGATGTTCAACTTATTTTGACAAAAGTGAAGAGCAAGTCGACAGCAGAAAGGTAGACTTTTTACACTTGATCTCAGTGAAAAGGCCAAGAAGCGATAAAGGTAAGATTTTTAACAAATAGTCCTGGAGCAACAGGCTACCCAGAGGAAAACAATTAAACTCAACCTAAGTCTCACAGCTTGTTTAAAATGGAGCTCAAAATGAATCACAAACTTAAATATAAAATGACACAATGTCCAGAAAATTATAAAGCAGTAAAGAATGAGGTAGGGGCCTGCACTGTGGCTCACTTGGTTAATCCTCTGCCTGCAGTGCCGGCATCCTATATATGGGTGCCAGGTTCTGTCCCAGTTGCTCCTCTTCCAGTCCAGCTCTCTGCTGTGGCCCGGGAGTGCAGTGAAGGATGGCCTAAATGCTTGGGCCCTGCACCCGCATGGGAGACCAGGAGGAAGCACCTGGCTCCTGGCTTCGGATCGGCACAGCGCCGGCCGTAGTGGCCATTTGGGGAGTGAACCAGCGGAAGGAGGATCTTTCTCTCTGTCTCTCTCACTCACTGTCTATAACTCTACCCGTCAAATAAATTTTAAAAAATTTAAAAAAAGAATGAGGTAAATACTTTAAGACATGTATTTACAAACACCACAGATGACAAAGGACTAGTATCTGGAAAATGTAAAAGACTCTCACTTTTGAACAGTAAAATAGCAATCCAGTTAGAAAACACACATTCCACCTAAGAAGTATGCAGTCAGCATATGTGCCCATGAAAAGATGTTCTATGTCATTACCCATGAGGGAAATGCAAGTACAAACCACCCTGGGACATCAGTATATACCTATCAAATTGGCTCAAATAAAAATCACTTAAAATATGCAATGCTAGCAAGGATGTGGAGAAACTGGATCAACCCTACCTTGCTAATGAGACTATGAAATGGTACAGCTACATAGGCAAGCAGCTTGGTAGTCTCTCAACACTAAATTAATAATAAATTAAATTCAAATGCCAGAGGTTTTTATCCCTGAAAAATTAATTCCTATATTCATGTAAAATACTTCATGTCTATAGCAGCTTAATTTTTAATAGGCAAGAACTGGAATCAACCCTGATGGACCTTAGTGGGTAATGCCAGACCATCCATCCCACAGAGGTTAATACAAAGGATGGAACTATGGGTACGCACAGTGACCTATAGGAGCTATGGGTATGCACAGTGACCTACAGGGACTATGGATACGCACGGTGACCTACAGGAACTATGGGTATGCACGGTGACCTACAGGGACTATGGATACGCACAGTGACCTACAGGAACTATGGGTACGCACAGTGACCTATAGGAACTATGGGTACGCACACTGATCAATAGGAACTATGGATATGCACGGTGACATACAGGGACTATGGGTATGTACAGTGACCTATAGGTACTATGGTTATGCACAGTGACCTATAGGAACTATGGGTACGCACACTGATCAATAGGAACTATGGATATGCACGGTGACATACAGGGACTATGGGTATGTACAGTGACCTATAGGAACTATGGATACGCACAGTGACCTATAGGAACTATGGACATGCACACTGATCTATAGGAACTATGGGTATGCACAGTGACCTATAGGAATCTCCAGAGACCCATGCTGACTGATAAAACCCAGTCCCTGGGGCACCTACTCTGTGTGACTGCACACAAATGACATTCAGGATGTGACTCAGTCATGGAGCTATGGGACAGACTGGAGCCTGTCAGAGGGAATGGGTGTGGCTCTACGAGGGTGACGTGAAGTCTTGTGAGGTCCAAAACATTCTCTCCCTTGGCTGTGCCCATTGTGGTCTCCTGGCTTTGGAACTGTACTGTAACTCTGCAAGAGGCTGGTTCTGCAGGAGACTGGATACAGGGTCCAGGGACCCTCTCTGTACTGTGTCTCACCCCATTACGTGAATTTATAGATACTGCAAAATAAACAGGAAAGTTCGACTTTAGAATTACTGAGTGAGGGAGAAAAGGCATGCTTCCGCACATTAAAAGTGTGAAAACTTTCTAGGGACAGTAAAGGAAAAGTCAGCCCACAAGTTCTGGTAGGACCCCTGCTGTCTTGGAGATTGGTGATCAGGAATTTAGAATGCGGCTATCTGCTCTGTTGTGCGAGCTTTCATCACCTGTATTGTGCTGTCTGGGTATAGAAACAGAGAAAACAGGTCGTGGGGTTTGTTCAGGACAGGGGCATGACAACAAGGTATAAGAACAATGAGCAACCAAGGACAATTTTTCTCAAATCTCTCCCTGTTCTCTCCATGCTGCTTGGGCTCAAAATCCTGTTTGCATTTCTTATATGAACCAAGAGTGTCCTCAGGGCCACAAGGGTCCTTGAACTCTGCCACACTGCACTGTCTGCCCTCAGCGACTGGAAACTAGCCTGGGCTCAGTCCTCCCACCCTGCACTGTTGCAGGTTCTGTGGTTAAGGATGAAGATGAAGGGGGTCACAGCAACCCGGGTTGCAATGTGGACTTAAGCAGGGAACAGAAAATCTCCTAGTCTCTACTATCTGATTTCATGGTGTAGTGAGAACTAAATGATAACACACACACACACACACACACACAAATGAACACAGAGCCAACCATTAGGTCAGCACCCAGTATCTACTGACCCAAAGGGCTTGAATCTGGCCCCACCCCTACTGCCACACATCCCTCCTGGGTGGCTGTTCCCTGATTCAAGTTTTACAACCAGCATCTCTGTAAAACAAAGCCCTGGTTTATAGTTTATATATCTCCATGGTGTACGAGGTCCGTACAATGTACTAAACTGACCACACAATGTACTAAAGTGACCACACATATACACACCATAGGCTCTTAGAAGTTGTTAGGAGCAAGTTCCAGCTCTGACACTGGAACTACCCTGGGCCACAGGTTATGCCCTGCCTTGGCCCTTTCCTAAGAATTCCTTACTAGCCCATGCCCAAGAGGCCACCTGACCATGATCTGTTAGAAAGCTGCCTCCTTTTCTCTCCCAGGGATGACTGGGTAAAGGAGGCAGTAGTGTCATCTCCACACACGAGAGAATCCCAACAATTCTGATGGATAGAGAAACACAACCTCAATTATAGCCAGTGGTCATATCATTACTTGGATGGCCAACACTGCCCTCTGGGCTCTTTATACCACTTCTGTTTATCTCACAGTTGCTAGGAGCACCTGTCTGCAACTTTACTTCTCATCAGTAAGTTGCCCCAGGTCTTCCCTTTCTACTAAGACCAAAACTTCCAAGAACAACAACTGATAACGCCGCACAAAACAAAAGCAGCTGGTTGCAAGTTATTTGGGAGCTACTGAAAGATCCAGAGGTTGAGGGCCACAGTCCTGTGGAGAATGGTGTGAGGTGCTTCCCGCTGGCAGTAGCCACTTTGGTCTGCAGCAAGGGGCTGAGAAGCCAGCCAGAGAATGGACCAGAAGCCAAGGGAAGATCATTACCCAGGCAAAGCTTTCCACATATCAGAACCAGGGGAACAAAAGGTGGAGTTTGGGCCAATGAAAACATCCGGATCTTTTCAATGGTGTATGTGTATTTATTTCAGGGAGCTGGGACAACTCCCATCCATTGGTTTACTCGCCAAAGGTCCACAGCAGCCAAGGATGAAGCTGGGAACCAGTATCCCCATCCAAGTCTCCCTTGAGAGCTGACAAAAAAGCAATTATTTGAGCCATTATCACTGCCTCCCTGGGTCTGTCTTGAAAGGAACCTGAAGCCAGGAGCCAGAGCCAGCAATCAAAACTAGATACCGTGACATGGGATGTGGGCATCTGAGCCACTAGGCTAACTGCCAGTTTCCAGCATCTGGACCTTGAGGGACCAAAATCCCAGAGAACAGCAAGTCACAGTAAAACACAAGCAGACCAGATGCCAGTTTTCCTACTACAACATTAGGTTAAAAAGACTAAGAGGTAGAGGGGAAGAAAGAATGGGAAAGAGGAGTGCAGGTTTTGGTCATTTTAGTAAGAGGCCAACTTACGGTTCTGAGATTCAGCCATCAGGAGGCGTTGGTAAACGTCGCTGATTTTCACTTGGGATCCCTGGAGGTCCACAGCCTAGGGGTGGAGACGAAGCCAGACTCTTCTAAGAACGGAAATGCAGACTCGAGCCAGGGCCACCCCGAAAGATTGAGTGATGACCCTCATGCTATTCGCCTGGTCTATGATAGAGTGAATTATCTCTGGGCAATGAGATTATCATTCTGAGCCTTCATGATTTTTTAATACAATGTCCAACTTTCAACAAGATATTACCAGGCATGAAAATAAAATAAACTCGCTGGCATCTAGTCCACCACATTAAGGAGCTTGTAGGTCATCAGTACATACACATAACAAGTAAAAAACACAGCACAAACTCAAAATAAAAACATAAATTCTTCCTAGCCTGGTCGGAGAAAGGAGCTCACAGGGTAGAACACACCGAACAAAATTCTAGACAAAGCAGCAGGGGCAGAGAATCCCAACTGTGGGGAGCAACTCGGACTAGACTAAGTTACTCGAATTAAGACTTATTCTATGCATCTGCTCTCCCACAATATGGCACTGAGAAGGGAGTAAACAGCTTCTACACAGCTGCCTCTCGCCAATTTGATTGAGCTGCAGGAGCTGTTCTTGCTCCTGATTGGAGGAGAGCAGCGTACTCGGTGTGTGGGTAGCAGAGTTGGGACTGGTGGAAGAGGACTATAAAGGAGGAGAGAGACAACATGTACCAGGAACATCTATCTGAAGGAACACCTGTGCAGCCCCCGAGAGAGCCCGCCAGAGGTGTGCTGCTCCCCCGCGGAAGTGGGGAAAGTGGCAGGGGGGCCCGCCCCTCCACGAGGTGGAGGGACGGCAGCCAACCCGGGAAGAACCAGCAGCAAACCCGGGGAGGGCCGAGCAGACAAAAGAACAGCGCAGGGTCCTGTGTCGTTCCTCCACAAAGAGGGGGAGCGACACCCAACCCCCATTAGGGGCTCTGGACAGGAGCAGGACAGGAAAAGTCTCCTCACTCTTCATGAGCTTACTTCCCAGAGTTCTACAGATGTGGGCCATGAACACATTAATGATTTTGAAGATTTATTTATTTACTTATTTGAAAGTCGTGGTTAGAGAGGGAGAGACTGAGAAAGGTCTTCCACCTGCTGGTTCACTCCCCAGATGGCCAGAATGTCCAGGTCAGGGCCAAGGGCAAAGCCAGGAGCCTCGAACTCCATCCTGGAGTCCCATGTGGGTGCAGCGGTCCAGGTACCGGGGCCAGCCTCCGCTGCTTTCCCAGGGGCACTAGCAGGGAGCTGGATAGGAAGTGAAGCAGCCAAGGCTCCAACCAGAACCCAGAAGAGATTAATTTTTGTGCAGGCTCTTGTCTTCTTCCAAAACAGAAACACAAAATGCAGACCGGCCCCACGTGCAAATAGGAAGGAGGTTATGTAGCACCCAGGAAACACACATACATTCAGGCCCAAGCCTGGGCTATCCCACACAGAGAAATGCTCAACAAGAGCGGGCCAAAGAACTGCCCATGCACAAGAGAAAGAAACGAAAATGGTACCTACGGTTGAGGTGGCCCGTGCACGCGACGGAGATAAAGAGAGCGGGAAAGCGCCAAGGTGGACGGCTCTGCACGGGAAAAGCACGCACAAGGGGTCCCTGGCTCCGCACGTGCAGCACTCTGTGGAGAAGAGAGAAAACAGCAGCCTTCATCCGCGCTGGAGGTGCAGCTCCTTCCAGCTGGTGCGCCCTCCGAGGGGCTCCATGAACCTGTTCGGGTGCAAGCACGCATCCATGACCTGGATGTGACAGGTGCATTCTGGGAAGGCGGATGTCATCACACTGACAGTTAAAGACACAGCCTTCCACTGCAGGAGAGGAAGAGTTCCAGGCCCCTAACCCTGACTAGTGACACCCTCTCACTGCCGCGTTCTCCAAGTGAGTCTTGGAGGAAACTCCCCAAATGGTTCTGGCAGTGGGAGGGGGAAAGTAACCGTTTCAAACTCCACAGAGCATTTTGTTCTTTGCAAAGCCCAAGCTATTGTGGGTTGTTTTTTCCCCCTCAGAGCCTAACTCACCTGGGTTAGGGAAATATCTGGCTCTAGTTCACCTCTCACCATATGTATTTTTAAAATTATTTATGTACTCGAGAGGCAGAGAGAGAGGTCTTCCATCCACTGGTTCACTCCCCACATGGCCGCAATGGCCGGAGCTGGGCCAGGCTGAAGCCCGGAGCTAGGAGGTTCTTCTGGGTCTCCCACGTGGGTGCAGGGGACTTGGGCCACCTTCCACTGCTTTCCCAGGCCATCAGCAGGCCAAGAACCCCATTTCCTTACTCTTAGCACTGTGCACCCCACTCTGACACCCAAACTCTATGTTGGCCCAAGTTGAAGCAGGGCCTGGGGTTTGGCTTCCTGCGAAAATGTCAAGTCATCATGAGCCTTTCAGTGGAGGTCTCAGAGCCCTGCTGGGTGCCAAGAGGAAGGATCACCCTTCTACTGGTCAGGCACACCAGGAGATAACCTTGTCTGTGATGTGGGCAGAGAAGTGCTTCTTCTTGGTGATGTCCCTAAGGAAAAAGGCTTGGCCCAATACCCTCATTTATCCCATCCACACACACTCAAAGTGAATTGTGGTGTCCTCGGGCCCTTCTCATACCCAGAAGCAGACATTAGCAACTCAGAAGAGCTGACTTCAAGAAGACTCAATACCCGCCGATGGCTTGAGTCCTTCCCCAAACGGAGGCCTCATAAGTGTTCTCACTACAAGTGGCTCCATCCTCCCTGCTGCCTGTCTCCATCTGGATCTCAACTTTATTTTCATTTTCTTCAGTCTCCCTTAGAGACTTAGCCTTGTTCAGCAGCTCCCCTGGCTCCTCTCAATTTTATTTATTTATTTATTTATTTATTTATTTATTTATTTATTTATTTATTTTTGACAGGCAGAGTGGATAGTGAGAGAGAGAGACAGAGAGAAAGGTCTTCTTTATGCTGTTGGTTCACCCTCCAATGGCTGCCATGGGTGGCGGGCTGTGGCCGGAGCACCGCGCTGATACGAAGGCAGGAGCCAGGTGCTTCTCCTGGTCTCCCATGGGGTTCAGGGCCCAAGCACTTGAGCCATCCCCCACTGTACTCCCTGGCCACAGCAGAAAGCTGGCCTGGAAGAGGGGCAACCGGGAAAGAATCCGGCGCCCCAACCGGGACTAGAACCCAGTGTGCCAGCGCCGCAGGGTGGAGAATTAGCCTACTGAGCCACGGCGCCAGCCTACAATATTATTTTTATTTGTGTTCCTTCGAAAGAAGGGAGCCAGAGAGAGAGAGGGAAAGAGCGATCTTCCATCTGCTGGTTCACTCCCCAAATAGGTACAACAGGCATATAACAGGCTGGGCCAAAGCCAGGAACCTGGAACTCCATCTGGGTCTCCAGGTGGGTGACAGGGATCCAAGTACTTGCGCCATCACCTGTGGCCTCCAAAAATGGGCATTAGCCAGAAACTGGATCAGAAGCAGATATGGATACAGATATGGGATGCAGACATCTCAAGTAGCTACTTTAACTGCTGTACCAAACGCTTGCCCCAACTGCTCAGTCTAAAAGCTTGATCCGATTTGCCTCATCCTAAAATGATGGCTCCAACATGCAATCCCCCAACACCTTCCCCTGCCCAACGGTGCCACCACCGTGCTGCATGCTCCTGGTCACCTCTTCCCTTCCTCTCACCACTGACGTCTCAATAACAATAGAGCCTCTCCTCTTCAACCGTGCTTTATATTCCTTCACATTCAGATGACACCCTTAGCAATGAACTTTCTCCCTCCACGGATAAAGGAGAGGGAGCGACACTCAGCTGAGTCCCACGCTGCTGCCTAGCATGCGTCATTAGAGTTACTCTGCACCTGACATAAGAGGAAACAGGCTCTCAAAGAACGCCAATGGCTTAATGGGTTACTTAATCCAGTCTTCTTTCCAGCCCACAAGCCCATCACAGCAAGGCCTTGGAATTCCCCTGTGGAAACCATGAGGCTGTGATGGTGGAGGCAGAGTTTCGATGTCCCCTTCCCCTGGGGCATTCTGGGACCTACTCTGGACTGCACCTGCTCCTCTGCTGCCCCCTGGAGCACCGTGGCATCTTCCTGTGTTCCCCAGGCTCTCCCCACCTCTCTGCTCACAGGCTTGCCTCTTCCTCTGCTATGCCCTACAAGTGACCCCTAACCCAGCTCTGTCCAAGTGCCCTGGCTTTCCAGTTGCAGAAGTGTCTCCACTGGGAATCTGTTCACAGCCACAGAGGTGCCTATCTTCTCGGGAGACTCTGAAGTTGCTGGATTTAGCAGCCATGACTCCTCCCAGACCGGAAGGGGAATGCTTCCAGCTGTTCTTCAATCCAGCCTGGAGAGGTGTGGAGCGACCCTTCCAGAGGAAGGGATAACTGAATTGAGTCTGAAAGAGATCATGGGAGCAGAACTTTCCAGACAGCAGAAATTGGGGCGACCCTGGTCTGCTGGGCAAACATGATCTGCACGGTTGGAAATGGACAAGGCAAGAACGTGTCCAGAGGAAACGCCACCCTGCTGGCTCAGGAGAAGGTACAAGAGTCCCATAACCAGGGGAGAAAGTGACCGTGAATGAGCATGGAGACCTGCTGACAAACCACCCATAAGGGGCACTGTGGTGACAGGGACACAGTCCAGTGTCTGTGTGCCACTGCATGATGGCCTTGACCTTGGTGGGCCAAGAGAAGGTAGTGGGTCAGCTTGGGTGGTCACAGGAGGGGTCCTGTGGCCCTAGAAAGGGCAGACCAGGCTTCCAAGCCTGTGCCCCAACATCAACCATGGCAAGACACATGGTGGCCTACACCACCAACCTGCTCCTCCCTTTGGTGCCCCAGATCGTGCCGTCAGCCAATTCTGGGAGGCCCAGGACCTCCAATCATACAGAAGAGCCAACACCAGAACAAATGAGTGTGGGGTGTGGAGGGTGAAGCAGGAGGCGAGGGGATGGAGCAGCAGGCAGATCTAGAGCACAAGTTGAACCCCCTCCACTCTCCTCCTTCCAGGCCTCATCCCACAGGATGCTTAAATACAAAAAAAATGGGACTATTCCAAAGGACATGGGAGCTGACTCAAAGAGCTCCTACTGGCCAGAAATGAAACCGTAAGAGCAATAAAGTGAATATGTTGGGTTGGGTTATAATTCGAAGATAAAATATTCATGAACCTGTATTAATATAAATTAAGATTCAACAATTAAGTGACCGGGAGAGTTGATATAAAGCTCCCTTAGAGAAGAATTCCAGATCACTTGGTAGATGCTTCCAACTCCAGGAAGTGAAAATTAATATCCCCTCAATCCTGAGTGTGGGCAGTGCCTAATGACTTGCTTCCAAAGAGTAGAATATTTGTTTCCACAAATACAAAAATGTAAATTCACTTTGGAGAAACCTGCCAGGCACGACCTTGGCCAGGAGAAC